TATTGAAAACTATTGATTTTCCCAATACATATTTGCGATATTGTCTCTTATTTGCGTCATATATTCTCCATCTGCTATTTCTGATGCTTCCATATCAGCTGAAACAGGTTCATCATCTGTGTTATTTCTTCCCGTCTCTGTCATTACTTCTGCAAAATCTGCATCTGAAAAGTTTGAAATTTTGATAAAATTGTGTAATCCCATTGTTGCCATTACCACTCTCTTTTGTACGTAATTTTGCAAAACAAACACACTAAACTTGAAAAGAAATTACCTGATTTTATTGAATTTTTTTTTTCAAATCCTGAGCTGGTAATCTGAAGGAAAATATATTGAGAGCTTGTGTTTTTTTTTGTGCTAATGCTCGTGTTTTTTATTTGTGCAGATGCTTTTGAGTTTTTGTGTGTGTGTGCACAATGTTCTTCACTAGACTTGATTTATATAGAAAATTTGGCTTGATTTTTTTTCAGAGTGTAAAAAATATTTTTTTTATTTTTTTTTATCCAAAACACTCMTAACCACACCTTATTTCTCTCAATTGCGGTTCACATGCGTTCCATCTCCTTTTGTCCCGCAGATGTGATGTGGTTTTGTCATTTTGCAATTAATGCAAAGGCTATCCAAACTCAAAAAAAAATTGTGAATAGTGACTGTATTGGTTCCCGCACGTGCTCCCGCCCTACCCACTACACACATTCACACTCATAGTATGAGTTTTAGTAAAATAAGAATAAAGTATATATTTGTATCAACGACCTCACCTAGTCATCGAATGTGTTGTAAGAGCATCATTAGGTCGATGATAGAAGACTCGATCGTGTATTGACTTTTCATGAACCTAGATTTTATTAGTTGGTTCGTGATGTAAGTTGACACTATTTTCTTTTTTCATGTATATATGTACTGTTGGAAAGACAGATTGCTTTGTTCAAAAAAAAAAAAAACAAAGACAGATTGCAGAGCAGTAGAGGTAATAATAATAAAAAAAAAAAAATCATCTTTTGCTCCGCTAGGCAATTTGCTTTTTCATAAGTTCTCTTCACTCACATCAGCTGATGTAATCATATGTACGTTGACATTTTTTTTTCATATATATGTGTTATGTTATGTATCTTTGGATAATATGTTTTTGTGAGGGGTTTATTCTCATATGATCCTGTAGATGCTACCTTTCGTAGGTGTAACTGGAAAGACAGATTGTACGTAGAGTAATAATGGCGTATGGTATAAAGGATTTTAAAAATTTGTGCTAGTCCCATGAACTGTATTGTTGTTGATTATTTATACATGAACTCTTTTTATTTTTGAATTTATTACATAATCTTATAAAACTTGATAAATTCACACAAAACTGTTAACGGAGTCAATTTTCCGTTCACGGGGTTAACTCTCCGTTAACGGAGTCCGACGTGGCTAACCATTCTGATCTGATAATTTTTTTTTAAAAATGCTCAGTTCACATAAAACAATGACGTTTTATGAATGAATTGGGAGAAATTTTTTTTAATAAAAATTAGGGTTCTTATTGTGTTTTATCGGGTTTGTTTGGAGAGAAACAAATTTAGGAAGGTTGAGAGATAAAAAGAGCGATCGATAGAAAGAAATTAGTTGTTTGTGGGTTTCGAATCATTCGTGTAGAGATCGAGATGAAGCGATTATGGGCAAATTGAAGAAAAAGTTTCATTTTTTTCCTGTTTTTGTTGTTGAATTGTTGATTTGGAAATCTGGTCTGAAAATGGCTACAACGATCACTGAGATTCCCACCGATCATTTCGATTCCGTTGTTGATGACGTCATCTCCGGTGGTGGTGACGGAATTGAGAAGAGCGATTCTAAACCAGAAATCAAATCGGTGCTCAAAACCAAATCCGACGAACTGGAGATTGATCAAATGAAGAAGCTTGTGGATATGTTTAAGAAACTCATCCTGAAGCGAAAGAGTTTTTCCCTTCTTACAAGAAGAATAACAATCAATCTCTCGATGATTTCATGGTCGTTAAGAAACCATCTGGTGAAGAAGATGACAACAAAAAGATGCCATTAACCGGATGGTAACAATTTCTTCATGTTTCTCTGATTAAAATTTGGATTTTTAGTTATGGGTTGATGTTTGTTGCTGGAAAGTCTCTAACTTTAAGTTTCATTTGATGATTCAAATAGAAAGTTTTGGTTTTGATTTGGTTGTACAATTCATCAATTGGTGTCTTTATATTGTCTTTGATGATGTTGTTTGCTATAATTTTGGGTTTTTTTTGTTTGGTTTTGTGTGGATTGAAGAGAAGAAGCAATTATAACCAAGGGAGGAGAGTGAGGTTACCTAGAAGAGCTTCAAAGGCTCAAAGAGAAGATAGTATTAGAAGAACAGTTTATGTCTAGTTTAATAAATTTTATTGCAATTATAAGTTTTATAAATTTTATTTTTCCCTCAATTCATAAAACGGTGTCGTTTTATGTGAACTGAGCAATTAAAAAAAAAAATTATTAAATCGGAATGGTTAACCACGTTGGACTCCATTAACGGAGAGTTAATCCCGTGAATAAAAAATTGATTCCATTAACGGTTTTGTGTGAATTGACTAAGTTTTATAAGATTATGTAGTAAATTCAAAAACAAAATAAGTTCATGTGTGTTTAGGCTGGGGTCAATACTTCATGTATAAATAATCAGCAACAATATAGTTCATGGAGGAATAGGCCGTTATTTCCTAGTAAACATGAAGAAATTTCTTAAAACGAACAAGAAAAAAAACAAAAAGAATTACTGGAAAATCCAATGCCATATGTAGAATTACACATAGGTATGTTATTAAGCATGTGACCCTTGAGAGCCAATTAGGGGGCTAAAGAAGATTGACCCAAATA